TTTTAAAACATCATTTCATCAAAATTTTATCCTTTCGTCCAAATTTGATGGTTTTAGAGCCTGAAATTCAACAAAATTCACGTGTAATCACTGGAATCACGTAATCCTGTGTACATCCTCAATCAATGTGGTGGCCCACTCGCTCACTCACAATATAATAGACAATTTTGCATCCAGCGACGGTTTGTTGAGGTATGCACATCTCAATTGAATGCAGATTTGTATCCGAAAAGTTAACCCACGCATGCACCCCTCTGCAGTGCCCATTGTTGGTAACTGTCTCGCCCTTGTAACCATGTCAGTCAATAAACCTCTAGTTTTCCTAAAATGCAAAATTATCACACTTAGAAGTGTAGTGCCACGTGTGCATCACACTTAAGTCTTGTATTACGCATTGAGGCGTCTTTGAAGCGTCTTATTGTCGGTTGGAAGAATCCTATCATCTCAATAAGAACTCGGCATCTATTCAAATTGGGTTCCTAGAGTCAGAATCAGCGTTTTTCGGTGATTTTACGATATTCACATGATTTCTTGGTCGTGAACCCCTCTAAGTGTGTAAATACGCCCCCGCCCCCATCTTAATAAGAAAAGATTCGCCAGTGAAGGGAAGTGTTGCTGGCAACTTAATTTGTCGGGAGTGCGGGGTGGGCTTGCATGTATTGCTTGCTGACAGTGTATTGATCTAGTAAACAACCCCCGAATACATTCAAAGACAATATGTGTTATTCGTGGTAGTTATTTACCAAATTTTAGAAAGACGCCTTTGTTTTCAGGTGGCTGCACTACTTATAACTAATCGGGAACTATGGACATCTGCTGCTAGACCTCGCCCCATGCTTGTTGTGTGTTATACCAACCATGCTCTAGACCAGTTTTTATCAGGCCTTCTCCCCGCTACCAAAAGCATCGTAAGGTAGGTCTTTGAGTCAACAACATCTGTTTCAGGAAGATGTCATGTCATGGATGAATGCATGTAGATTTACTACGCAGAATTCTAATATTTTGTGTGCACATTTACACAACTTTCTTATTTTGAACCATGACACGAGACAAATAAGCCTCTGGTCTAGATGTGCACTGTGAACACTCTACATTTAAAGGAACTTGTTTTGTTACTTAAACTAGCAACAAAGTATGTAAGTCCTTAGCCGCAGAGAGGTCAGGGCAAAAACGTATCGGTTTACAGACAAATTCTGCCATTAGATGGCACAACATGTTCCTTCCACAAATTGTTTCTTCCCCTTTAAAACAAATTTCTGGCG